TTCTGATCCACATAAAATAATAAAAATTTGTTATCATCAATTAAAATACGCTCTCCCAAAAATAATTGGTGACAATATTTATCTTTTGCATTTTTAATGCCACAGATGGCCCCAAGGAATGAGGCTTTAATATCATCACCTGCTTCATACAATACATCATACTCATCAATAAAGAGAACCACCCTTTTTTTACACTTGTCTTTACTAAAAAATCTAGCAAATTCACTAGCAGATTTGATACCAGCAAATTTGATATCAGAAGTGCCATCGATTTCAAAAGAATGGCCAAGTGATATCCAGAATTTATCTACAGATTCTATGTTAACCAGCTCGAGAGTTACACTGTTCAAAAGAGAAAAGAAACAGAATCAACAATTAGACTCCATAAATGTGATCAATTCACTTTAAACAGAGCTTATTAAACAGAGCTTACTAAATACAGATAAAGCCTTCATCTATCAACTGTTCCTTAACTTGAATCACACATGTGGATTTTCCTGAAGTGCATGCACCATATAAAGCAACAAATTCACCTCTCTGAATCATATCAAGAAATGGAACACTATCCTTCATTGGATCAACAAAGTATACATTATTACGCTCTGAATTTGGAATGGCACTATCAACTGTCCATCTTCTTTTATTTCCTTCTGTAACTGCAGAGAATTATTTGTAAGAACAATGAAATAAAATATACAGACAGGTATGGAAACAAGTTTCTATCACATCTTTCTTATGTTCTTCCGTTGCTTTTCTTTTTCTGTCTAGCTCCAAGCCCTTAATTTTATCATCTATGAGCATTATTAATAAAAAGTCAATGCTAGCTTAGTAATATATCTCCATGATTAAGTGTAATTTACAAGAAAAACAAGTTAGACAACTTTGTAACCAGTATATCAAACAATCAAATAAATAAACAAAATGGAACAAATAAAAAATAATTTTTTTTATATTGGTGATTCACCTATGAATCAATGAATGACATTTTTTATAATAACTAAATATTTATCTGCCTTCAATGTATAAACCAACATTTACATTTGAGATCTTTACCTGTCACTTTCTCACTTTTCAATTTTCTTTTCAACCTTTCTATTTTTAACTCTAACTCTTCTACTTTCCTTTTCAAATTCTAAAAAGGATGATTGTTTGTGTGAATAATTATATATAAAAATTATTTTATGTTGAATTAGTGTTGACAATATTGAATACTAATAATAATTTATTGAAATAAATACCTTCTCATTATCGTTTTCTTTATTTTCACTAATAAAAAAAAAGTTTATAATTAACTAGAGTGATGATGCATGGTAACGATTGCAATAACCACCAATCTTTATATATAAACTAGAGTGATGACAAGTGGCGGGCGATAGCCACCACCACCATTCTTAAAACACACCCATCTCCTTCATCACGATCATTTTGTTTGCTTCTTAATTTTCTATAGTTGGACATTTTAAAAAAAGAAGTTTGTGAATGATCGATGTATACATGCTAATTATTTTTTTTGGTAGGACAGACGCAAATTGATTTTTTTTTTTTTTTTGGAAAAACAATTTATTTATTTTTTGACAGAGTCCAAGGTGACAAAATGTGAGTGTTGTTGTTTGGTTTGGTTTGGGTCTCCTAAAGAATACGTGTTAATAACTAACCAGAGGTACTTTTTTTTATTTGAATTGATATGTATGAGGTGTCTTTTATTTTAGTTTATAAATATTTTAATTGGAAATCAAAACGTGGAGCAGATCTTGCTGGGTAATTACAAGATTTTCATTGATAATATTTTACTTTTCGTAATCGTTAATAATATTATTATAAATATTATAATTACAAGATATCAAGGCAGCACACCATTTAAAAAGAGACATTTCAATATGCAATGTTTGATTACAGGAAAATAGCAGGTGTTGAAGCATGCATGCTACCTTGAACACATTACAGTCATTCTCATCTTCCTCATGTACATAAGGCTAATCTGACCACGGTGCTCCCGATGATATGATGATGTTGTTAAATTTCTGGGGGGAGGCCCAAGGCCCAGGAGAGTTTACAAGACTGCATCAATCGTCAATGACGCTTTCACTAATCTTCCCAGACCAGAGAAGGCCGCTGGCACGCTGGCTGAAAATTCGCCTGCAACAATCCTACCTCTAGGGTAAGGATGGCTCCATGGCCAAGCTATTGCAACTCTGGAGGAATATTAAGAGAATCTGCAACTCATTCCAAGTGTAGGAGATCACAATCCAGAGCAGGGTTTGTGACCCTGAAATTGCATTTGGACTCTGATGTTAAGAGGAAAGTTGTAAAATAGTGTTTGTTTTGTATAATCACTTTCATAAATTCTCTGTTTCTCTGATACTAACCAATTTAATAATTTTGAGTAGGGGACTGGATTGGGTTTTTGCCCAACCAGTCCTCTGTCCTGTAGGTTAAAATTATCACATGATTATATACATCTTTGTCAGCAATATGGCCAACAAGAAAAAAGTTATAAAATGGTTCAGATTTTGTTTGGTATGTTTTGTACAAGTTAAACATTTTCCCAAATTTTCTGCTTTTCTTTAATTTTTATATGACCAACTGAATTTGTTATTTAAATGGGGGTAAGGTTGTTGGTGAGTAGGCATGCCACTGACAAGACAGGAGACACCTTTGAGATATACCAGCCAAACTCATAGAAAGGGATCTTTTGTCCAGACTTAGGGTCACATGGATGTTAAGCACAGAAAATGTACACTATCAATGTATATTTTTTTCAACAAAATAAACATTTAAATAATTAATTGTTAAATATTAATACTTTTCTTTTCATAAAAAATTACAGCAACCCAGGACTCAAAACTCCGAATTCAGGAAAATCCAAAACAACAACCCAGGTTGCAACCTCCAAGTTTGTACTGGAGAGGTATAACACAAAATGATCATCACATAAATGCCAACTCTCATCAGTGATCAATGCCCATATGATCAATGCCAAGCCTGATCTGGGAGGAAGATAGAGGAAAGTTTTGTCCGAAGCCTTCCAACAGAGGGTACCCTTACCTGTGGAAAAAAATCTACAGTTATGAGGCGTGCTTAATTGCACCCAAACTCATGTTTGTGATAGGAAATTTTGATTAAATCTGACACCTGCAATCAACATCAGATTTATTATTCATAAGGAACCATAATTGATAATCAGGAAAAATAATTTATTTTGTGAACCCCAGAGATCTGGGTAGACACACATTATTAAAAGTTTCATTTATGCATGGCCTTGGTATTGTTACTACCTGGGTGATGCAATTGTTTGTTATGTCAATGATGATATCAAATGTATTGAATAATAATCATGACCATCATGAATATTTGATGGATGGAGGCATTCACATACAAGGAAATGATTAAATAGCTAAAACATGTTTGTTTTTTTAAAGATATATGATTAATTGTATATATACAATAAAAAAATTGTATGAAATCCAAGACTGCACCACTATATCAATCAAGCTATCAAGCTGTTATGTTTGTTCATGATTTAAAATTCTTTTGTGCTAATTTAGGGTCCCATCTTTCTTTGCTTATATATAATCTATTGATTCTCTTTTTACTGGTCAAATGATGCCAAATTGGGTAATGGGGTATCAGCAAATATTATAATCTGATTATTCTTTAAAAAAATAATCAAGGTATTAGCATACCAATAAGTTAATAATATTCTTAGTATTTTTATCATATAGTCTAAAAGCCTATTAGTAAATGTTGAATGAAATTATCAGATATTCTTTTAAAATTAATCCTATTTTCAGTTAATTATTGGCTTAGTTTAATAAACCAATAGCTCTTTTGTATGTAATTAAATTATTGGTTAAATATTTCTAAAGCTCTTTGTGCTAAAATAATATCATAATCTTGAGCAGTAGTTAGGTTTTCTATTCAAATAAGGTTTATTTGAATAAAACAAACAATTCGAGTAATAATAAAACAAATAAAACAAATAAAACAAATAAAACAAATAAAATGTACAGTTAGAACTTGTTAAGACAATGCTTTGATAAACCAAATATACACGATAAACTGATGTTGTTTTATTATAAAATTACCTCAATAAGCTGTTTTTATTAAGGTTTTTTAGATTGAAGTTTTTTTTTTTGAAAATATTGACTTCGGTTTAACAAGTTCAGACTGTATTTATGAATAGAAACCATGCATTAATACTAAAATCAAAAAAAAAACAATAAACAAACAAACAAATAGCTTTTATTGTGAAATAATTAATTTTGTCCCTTTATTGAATCAATCACACAAGTAGTAGTTAATTTAAACAGCATTGTTTTTAAAGAAAATAATATTATTAAATGCATAAAGTTTAATATTTTTTTTAATTAATATTGTAAAATGTTCTTGATGGCCAATCTCAATCCAAAATCAACCATACTTTCTTTATTTCCTTTTATGATAAAAAATAAATTTAATATAATTAACACAAAACAAAGGTTTTCCTCAATTGTTTTTTTAGAAACAATGGCTGTATTCATGAATTAATTGAGTTGAAATGGACATAGAGGACATTCGATTTTAAGAAACGATCAGCATTAGTTACACCACATATTAAACACTGACCCGTCATCTGACTTTAATTCAATTGGTGGCCACCAAAATCGATTGTCCAACAATATTAACAATATATTCTAATCCACCACCTTCTATTTTATATACTGTCAAAGTAATTCGGTAAAAGGTGAAGTGATTCGGAAGTTAGATGAGAGAAGTATTTTCCAAACATTCAAAATAAATAAATATTGAATTCTTTTTTTGTTATAACAAACAACTCAATCATAAAAAAAAATTTAGTACGTTTATAAACAATAACTCTTAAACTTTGAAAAAATATTTATAGTTCTATAATATAAAGAAACATCTTTGGATCTACTTGACCAAAGAATGATAGGGATATTATTATTATGTCTCAAGTGTGTTGAATAAATGTACAATGTAAAGAAATGATCATAACATTCTTGGATCTACTAGACTGAAGAAAGGTGTGAATATTTTATTATGTTTCATCATAGTTAATGTAATGAATAAGTAACTTATCAACGATGTAATATTTTGAAATTTTTCATTATGCAAAAAGGATTAATTGACAATCCGTCTATTAATCAGAGAAATGTTGATCATTTTCATATAAAATTGTGGGGCTTATTTAATTTAATAAAATTAATTTTTTCTCAAATCTCAGTGTTTCTACTTGTTAACCCAATGTCAAAATATAAAAAAATACTTATAGCACCTGGCGAAATTGATCAAGATATCCATTATGGTCCATTTGCCATTTATTGGTGGAATTTTATTGAAGAAAATATAAAAATATGTTATCCAATAAGAATTAATATGAGAATTAAGATCGAGCTCAATAAAAAAGAGTTTATTATTCGAACTGTTGTAAATACAAATGATGGTATGAAGCCTGGTTATATATATGAGGAAGATAACGATGCAAAGATTTATTCAACACCAAGTGAAGTGGTAAATGAAAATTATAAAAAAATTTTTGATAAAGCAACACGTTATCCTGGTCCAAGCATTTTGGGTTTTGATGATAAAATATTCATTGAACAATTACAGGTAAATGTTTTATTTTTTCCATTTGAAATTGTCACTAATGGTATTAAAGTTTTTGTAGCAGCACTTGGTAGTTCAGATGAAAAGAAGTTGAATTTTGCAGGTTCTGGCTATTGTTCATCTTTTCATTACAGATACTCTGGAAAAAAATCTTTGATATGTCAATCAATAAATGACAAAAATTGTCAAATTGA